GGCACATCCTCACCTGCATTTATGTTATTCTCATGTATACTAATTTTTCTTAACAAAATCATGGTAGGATCCACGGAACAAGGGAGGTTCGAACAGAAAATGTTAAACTGTATTATCCAACTGTGACTAAGTTGTGAAGAATGAAATAGAATGGGCACAGTTTATAGCATGTAAGACAATCTTTATTTATCCAACTAAACAACCAAAATGAGTGGCATCACGAAGAATTGCGCCTATAATGGAGATTTAAGAGCTTTCAAAAATATATATGAAGAAAATATTTCAAAATGTTCCAGACTGAGGAAACATAGCATTATATATATATATATATATATAACAAAACTATAATGCTATTTATCCACAGAACCGCGCTCTCTCTATGCTGGCCCGGCATGGCCAGGTGGTTAAGGCACTCGACTCGCAATCTGAGGGTCGCGGGTTCGAATCTCCGTCACACCAAACATGCTCGCCCTTTCAGCCATGGAGCGTTATAATGTGACGGTCAATCCCACTACTCGTTGGTAGAAGAGTAGCCCAAGAGTTGGTGGTGGGTGGTGATGACTAGCTGCCTTCCCTCTAGTCTTACACTGCTAACTTATGGACGGCCCTCGTGTAGCTTTGCGCGAAATTCAAAAAACAAACAAACAAACTATCTATGCTACTACTGGCCATTTGCAATTAAAAATAAGAAAGGATATAACCTCAATGTATCATCTGACGCTCCAGAAGGAAATATCACTATATACTTTTACGTAATATATTTAATTGTACAGAAACATTTTCCACAAGAAGCCACGTGATAACATATGTGAAAACCCAGAACAATGCTCAACTAGTGCAACTTACCAAAGTCCTATAGTTAAAATTGCATACCATTGTATGTACAAAAAGCTTGGATATTTAACTAGTTTTTAAGAGATAAATTAGGATTCTAACAAATAGTAACTTTTTTTTTGATTTGATGGTTTTAGCTGGTGTTAGAAATCGAAAATCGAAGTAATCGAATAGATGCGTGTTGCTTAAATGCTTGTAATTTGTGGATCCATCTTCACTCTGATTGTAATAAATGAAGATCACGTAGCAGACGTCTTTTTTTTTTTGAAATGCTCGGAAAAGGACTAATTTAACAAAACTAAAAAGATGGTGAACAAAACCCAACACCGACTGTAAGTTCAAGACTACCATTACAAGAGATCGTGATCGACGTACGTTCTGTCCTCGAGAAATGGACAAGAAATGCAAGGATGGGTGAGAAACGTATCAAACGTCTGTGTAAATAAAAATTCCAAGATATTGTGTTAGAGCTATGATGTTTGAAAATGATTTTTTTTATTTCTCCGCTATACATCATTTTTTTTGAATTTTCATACTAGTGTGGTTTCCTAATGTTCGAATCAAATTTTAAAGTAATGCAATGATGAATATTAGTGTGTTTGTTTTAATGTGCAGTGAATTCGTCATCACTAGTAAAATAAAAGTATTTTAAACTAAAAGTAGCCTAATTACCATGTAGAAATGCATGGAACTCGTGGAAACCCATCGGTTGTGACCGCTAAAATAAAAATAAAAAGTCACTAGTTACAATATAATATATCTTAAACAACGATTGATAAAGATATTTAGTAAATTACACGGTATTGTCACAGCTTTAAAGTTTTATTTCGTTTCTTAAATTTTGGCCTAATTCGAGGTTTAAGATCCTATTCACATACAATTCTGAAATTGTGATTGACAACAAGAAAGCACAGACCATTCTGTGACAAGTGGAATTCAAGTCCATTCTTCTCGAGTAACTCCAATTTTGACAAGTTTGACATTCATGGGAACAACCGAAAAATTCAATTAAATGATGGCTTATGTTGTTAAAGCACAAAAGATTTGTATGTCCGAAAAGGTGCACTGAACGACTCAGCGTCTCACCAGTAAATGAACCAACGGACTTATGTAGTTTGACAAGCTGGAGGATATTTTCTTCCTCTGCCGGTTGGAAGCTGACGGTGTTGTTGAAAGGTGCGTCTTCCAGTAAGAAAGGGCATTATTTCATTTGGCATTTAGTGTTCGTGATTCACTGAGCAATGTCCTATCAAGCTGATGGATTGACTTTCTATGACTGTTCCTCCAGTTTCAGCTTTCCCTAGGCTTACCCAATAATGGATATCTATGTGTAGGAGTACATCATATCTAAGTTGTACACAGCATCGATCTCAAGGATCGTATCGGGAGAACGATATAAATCTAAAATGTGTGCTTGTCAAGAAGTTTGACAAATGGAGAAAACTCCTGCAGAAGAATACTAAGGTCTAGTAGAATTCATGTGGAAATAGCATAACATCTGAGGGTATTTAGGCCATCACGTATTTTACCATATATTTGACATTTCTATGATTAGATATTAACACATTTTTAAACATGTACAAATGTAGCTTATAATTTCTTTTAATCAACATAAAGTTTTCATTTTCTTTTTGATTTGTTTGAAAAAAAAGTGTTTTTGAAAAAATAATAATAATAAAGCGTTTTGAACATTTATACAAATTAGACAAATGTTCATAAATGACCCGAAGTTTTCGTCACATTATTACTTACATCAATTTTCAACATTATGCTACAATAAGCTTACATACGTTTTTTTCTTAGAAACTGAAAGACAGATATTAAAAATATATTTCTATGGTTCTTTTAATCAGTTCAGATCAATATACTGCACTGAATATTTCATAAACTATATGTAAGTATATACTCATACCTATTCCTCTAAAGCTCCAAAAATTAAGATTAAACATTCACTTACTCCCTCTGGTGATGACTAGCTGCCTTCCCTCTGGTCTTACACTGCTAAATAAGGGACGGCTAGCGCAGATAGCCCTCGTGTAGTTTTGCGCGAAATTCATAACAAACACACAAACAATACTCCCTCTATTTCTTCCTTTGTTTTCAAATATTATAATTCTTTCTGAATATTTATATAAACTTTAATATTTGCTTTTGATTAACAATGTAAGTTTTTCGTCTCGGATAAATATCTGATTTTCTGCATTTGTTACAAATACTCAAAATAACAATATAAATGCAGGTATATTTCTGGTGCTAAAACAGCTATGACGGAGATTTTTTTCAATTCTAACATGTAATGTTCTGAAATACATTAAATAACATTTAAACCAATACTGTTAATGTTATGTTAATGAGAAAGGTGATTTTAATGTTCATTATCATCAATAACTTCCATAGATATTATGACGAAATTAAATGCTTTGATGCTAAAATAATATAAAGTTTAATTATAGTAATCATTACACTAGCCTTCTTACGCCCCCCCCCCTAGTGGCACAGCGGTATGTCTATGGACTTTCAACGCACAGATAGCCCATTGTGTAGTTTTATGCTTAATTACAAACAAACAAAAGCCTTCTTAATTATAAACTTAAAAAGAGTATTTCGTCAACAATTTTAAGATATTTTAATAATTATTGTACATTATTTAATTTCGGTAGTGCATATTGGTTTATAGAAGACATATTAACGCTAGAAATAAACTATCTTATAACACCAAAATGTTTTTTATTGAATTAAACACTCAACGTTTCGCTTTAAAACTTCTTCAGAAGCGTTCACTAAAACACAAACCGAAACTGACTGTACAAAGCATCAAATGGTTTAAATAAAATGGTGTTATAAGGTCGTTTATTTCTAGTATTAATTCTTGTACATTAATGCTTTACTATAATAAACACATTTGTTTCTTTGACAATGTTAAGCATACAAATTACGACTGTTTCGCAGTAAAAGAATCTTGCAAGTTATGTATTGTTTTTTACTTGATAACACATTTGTGAAATTCAGCCAAAACATCTTCAAACAAATAGAAGGAATATTTATTGGAAGTAAGTTCACCTCTCAAAAATACAGATTCGAATTTTCATACATAGCAAAATCATGTAAAAAAGACTGTAATAAAGCCTTGCACATAAGTCACGCTTCTAGATACATCGAATATATTTACTTTAATTACGATAGATTTTCTTTATGCGGTCGAAAATGTATTCACCAGATCTCACTGTGGTTTGAAAAAGCTCTTTCACTAAAAACAATTAAAAATACCTTGTTTTAGCATCGTCAGTCAAACATTCCTTTTCAAAGATTTCAAAAGATTATGCACTTTATAACTTCGAAAGTTATAAACTGTCCGTTTCCAAATACAAACATTAAAAATATGTTATGTTACTTTACTTATTACTCACACATTATTGAACGTAACGAGATTTGTGGACAGAAATAGTAAACTCATTCTAATTTCTCACAAACGACGGTTGTTCTACTTCATTTTGAATTCCAAATCAATTGGGGAGGGGCAATTCAACAGTATTCTTGCTAACAATTAGGGGTTTAAAAGATTCAAGAATACTATGACCTCTTCAAAACTTCCAATTCTAAACTATAAATTCTCAAAAATGGGTTAAGGTAGTAATGAGTTAATATAGGATATTTTAGGTTTACCTTCTGTTAATTTAGCTCTTTTTATAGATAATTCAAGCTATACAATAGTTTCACATATAGTGTTATATTACAAAATCAGTTAAATTATATCAGTTTCTGCAAATTCTTTTAATTGTGCTATATAACAGTTATGTTAAATTATTTTCTATTACATATTGTTATGATGATTGAACTTTCTCAAATCCTACTACATTTACTTTTCGGTTGTTACTGAGGATTTAACGTAATATATTTCTTCCTACTGCACGCTTCACGTGTTTTACAATTAGATACGAGTTAGTTAAAGCCGTTAGATACTATTGGATTTATGGCCAAGAATACCGCTTACAGCGTAATTACCGAACTGATGAAACAATGTATTCTAATCCTTATAACTAAGAACAAAATATTAAATTAGCTATGTTAATTACCTGGTTGATTTTTAGTTTTAACTGAAGTAGGTAATTTGCTCTAATTGGAACTTAATATTAAGTTTTATTAAGACATTATACCTTGTGCTACAGGAAAGCCTCGACCATCAGTAACTTGGTGGAAAGAAGAGATTTTGCTTGACGATAGTTATACCTTTAAACCTAACGACGTTGTTGATAATGAACTAATCATCACCAAAGCAAAACGGGAAGATCTTATGTCTGTTCTGACATGTAAGGCCTCAAACAGTAACATTACAGTTCCCGGCTCTGTATCTATTACTCTCGATTTGAACTGTAAGTATTGATGCACGAATGATTTTGTCCAACATCATCCTAGATTCATACTCAAATTGTTCTTTATTGAAGGTAACCAAATTAGCTTAGTAAGTTTAAGATTTTAAATATAAATCTTATTGGTAGGTTGGAAATAAAATTGAAATCATGTGTTTCTTTTAGCAGTATATTTTATATGTAAAATATGTATTTGTTTGTCAATATTTTTATTGATGATGTACTACGAGGAAATATTTTAAACTATCATTCTCAGTTAAAAGCAAATATCAGATATCATTCATATTCTACATTCTCTATGTTTATTTAGTAATGCAGTAAATACGACAGATATTGCATGTGAATGAAATATTTCCCTCAGAAAACCGAGTACTCTGCCGTCGGTATGTTAATTTTCAACTATCGTCTTATGGCCTATATGTGTTATTATGTTGTTGAATGTTGATTTAAATACAAAAACCTTGTTCACCATTAAAATGTGTACTTGAGAATGATGTCGAAATGTCGTACCTGTTTAAAACAAAAATCTTCCTTACTGTAAAAACTATAACTTGTAAAAAAAAAAAAAACACTTGCAATCAGTAAGTATACTCAAATGAAGCTGTTTAGCTCGTATTGTTTTATTACTTAACTCAAATATTGTATAACTACTGATTTCTTGAAGAGAGTATCTGTCTCTCTCTGTACATAACTATCACTATATCCTTTGACCCATAGATACAGTGTAACCTACAAGCAACTCAAATGACTTTTTTATAATTTTATCTAAAACTTCAATGGGAATTGTATAGTAGATACCTGGCGTAGTTCAAACGTCTGTCTCATTTGGCCATAAACTTACAGACAATGCCTTATTGTGAACATACATAGGGTAAACACACTTCTCAAACTTATATATGACTTAGCGCATATTCTCACTTTTGGTTTTAAAAATATTCCATTCTAAAATTTCCCATAAAACTTCAAATATCAGAAAGTTTCTCGAATGCTTCTGATGTTAATGACATTAACTTAATTTTGTCGAAATTAATTGACTGCTCTGTTTCTAGTATAGTAGAAAATATTTATATATTATTACCCATAAACGTTACGCAGAATTATACTTCAGCAATTTTAATGGTGATTAATAAAAAGTATGGACTGCACCATAGCATTTGATTCACTAAGGAACCACGCTCGTTTTACGTCTTTTAATTCATACTTCTTTACTAGTATATACATTTTACCGCTTTTTGTTTTCTTCAGTGAAGCCCAAGACGGTGAAAGTTCAGTCCTCTAAACGCCCTCTTTCGGCCGACGTGGAAGTGGAGCTTCGTTGTTCTTCGAGCGGATCTCGACCTGCTGCGGATATAACTTGGTGGAAGGGAAATGAGCAACTTCAACAAACAAGCCTCACTGTTGATAAGGTCGGAGTAAGAACTAGTATCCTTAAGTTTACGCCTTCCATTACTGATGATGGAAAATATCTTTCCTGTAGAGCTGAAAATCCATTCATACCTAGTAATGCTGTGGAGGATGGTTGGAGATTGGAAGTCTATTGTAAGTGGAAGTGAAACATACATATGCAGTTTTATGTTATTCGTCCATAAGGTCCTCTTTATTTTTTCTAACTTTGTCACTGACGATGTATTTAACGGAAACTCTATAGTACTATAAGCATAAAGAATTAATTGTATTTAGCCATTTACAAAAGTTATGTTCGAAACAACTGATTGGATACTGAGAGATAAATGTGAGCAGCAATTAGCATAAACAAGTACTTAATTGTCGATACAATGCTGAGGTACCGTTTAAAATGTAATTATTGTTAATCACTAAGACTAAGATTTGAAGCTATTTCCTCCATGCGTTAAAGAGGGATATAGAAAGCGTGTTTAAACATCAAATGGCATCAGTTAACACAAAATGGCAATCTAAATTTCATAGTAATCTCTATACACTGTATGATAAATACCTGAACGGATTCCATTAAGTTTGCCTGACTAAATAATGAACTGACATCAAATGTTCCAGCAATAAAGGAAGCGTGCTGAATATTTAAACTATAATGTATATATGATATATGGCCTATTCTTATGGATTCTCTAAAGCTACATCATTGCATTAAGGATTTGTTGATCGTACAGTACAAGTCAAACACGTTGTTTCAGATTGTTTTTAAACACCACATTCTCTCTGTTTATAGCTTAAATGTCCATAATAAATTTTACCTAAAATTTATAGACTGTTCAAAGTTTCATAGCTTTTGTTTAAGGATAAATTATATTTGACAATGAAATGGGAATATACACATTTTTGCATTTATATATGGGGGGCAACAAATAACGGAAGATTAGTAGCCACGATAAAGATAAGTTTATACTTTAGCATGTAAATTCAATACGCCTACTTGCAAGTAACAGGTTTAATTACACTTTTATTAAACTTCTACAGATTGTTACAGCAACGAAATGAGTGAATATTGTACTACACAAGGGTATTGCTTGTAAAAAACAGAAATACCTCATACAATATTGCTCAGAATGTTTACATACTGTTCTATATTGATGTTATTGTCTACATACATGGAGTAGTTATTGATTAAACGCCCGAGTAATGACTGAGAAGATAGTGTATGATCGGACAAACATGTACGAGTTATTATCCTGGTCTGTATAAGTTGTTTTGAACATTTGTTCGTCAAACAACACATATATTTCCCTGATTGGTATAAAAGGGTGTGTTTTTGGTATAATATTTTTCGAAACAGATCAATACTTTATTCAGAAAATTCTCTGTAGTCATGCGTCGTCACGTGTCAGAAAATATAGGGCGTCAAATTGTTTGATTGTCCAGTAATGGTATGAAGCACACGAACATTATCAGAACAGTGGGGTACCCCCAGTATACTGTATCCGGGATCCTGAAATGTCATCGGACTACAGCAAACGTTATTCCAGGAAAGTGTTCTGGTAGACGTCAAAAAACTACTGTTTGAGATGACCGTGTTTTGATCAGGTTAACACGTCAAGGTCGAAAGACGTTTTACAACACCTTATGACAGGAAATGTATGAAGACATTCATTCCAGGGTATCCAGAAGAGCAGTAAATACGAAACTGACTAAACAAGGTTATTTTGCAAGAAGGGTTATCTGTAAACCAATATTAACCAGCATTCACCGCCGTCACCGTATTACTTGGGCAAGACAACATGCCAACTTACAGCTTTAGATGAGTTTTGTTAAAGCTGATGGTAGGATTCGTATTCGTCGTTTGCTTGGAGAACAGATTAGGGAAGACTCTTTTTCTCACAGGGAACATGCAGGAGGTGGTGCAGTACATGTTTGGGCAGCTATTTATCCTGGTGGAAAAACTGCTTTTCTTATCCTCCAAGGAAATGTTAATGGTGCCTCCTACAGGCATCATATGGAGGCGATATTTCTGCCATATGCTAGGGCAAAGTTTGCCAATAACTCTGTGTTCCAGGATGATAATGCCACTGCCTACAGTGCATGTATTCTACAGGATTGTCTCAACCAGGAGAGCATTACAGATTGAGATTTTTTGGTATAACTGAGCCAGAAAATTGCTAACCACGACGCTAAACCAGCTATTGCTACTGAGTTTCAGCGCCTTCTAGTGAAGAGTTGGGATGAAATCCCGCTTTATTACATGAATAACCTCATTGACAACATGCATTTCGGAGGTTATTGGAGTACGAGGAGGACCAACCAAGTACTGAATGTTTAATATGAACTGATATTAGGTTACAGACGCTATTTATAATAATTTGGTGTTATATTTTGTCATTATATATGTCTTGGTAAGGATTTGTTGAGATAAGTGAAATGCTGAGTTAGATATATTTCTACAGGTGTCTGTTAAAAATTGTTTGCTGTTCTTATACATCGTTCATGATTCCCATAGAACCTGTCTCATTATACAAATTACATATGTAGATGTTTAATATAACACGCGTTTCTCAGTTTGATAGCGTTAAGTGTATTTGTATTCCATCTTAATAATAATGATCTTACTTGTTACAAAATATTCAAACATCTTGGCCAAGACTGTACATATTGTACTTTAGAGCTTTTCGAACTGTTTGATTTCCTTTCCATATGAGAACATTCAAGTTAATAATACAACTTTTAAAGCGAGATAAACACCAACATTTTTCATAAAGTTCTTTGTAATACGTTTCACTGTGATTGAAAAACAACAACAGTGAATTTGGAAGAAGATACTGTAAAGGCAGTATTTATCTTTGATTCAACCTCATACAAAAATCTAATAGGAAAACTTGTATTAATCAACTATTCAGTATTTTCGTGAAATTAATGAACTAGATTGGTTGATGTTTATTGGTCGTTTGATTTTGTTTTTTCTTATGTCGTTGATACAAAACAGTGCATTTGCTGTTATGTTTAATCTTACATCGTTACAATTTTAACTCCAAAGATCTTTAAATGTTAAGTACCTTAGAAAGAAACTTAGCGAAATTTAATTTTTTATCGGTATTCCCCGTAAGCGTTAACCAATCAGTAATAAGCTGAATTTCTTCTCTTAAATCGTCACAGCCAAATCAATGATCATAATATAGATATTTAATTTCTATGACTTAGATAAATCATTAATCTCGAATAAGAAACTACTCTTATCATCTTGTGAAAACTGATCTAAGATTAATATAATCAACGGATGAAATAATTAATCTTTGACTGGTTTTGGTTTGTTTGAAATTAAGCACAAAGCTACACAACGGGCTATCTGTGCTCTTCTCACCAATGGGGGGGGGATAATTGATAATGAGTTATTCATATTATTATGTAGAAGCCCTACATATATTAACCACGTTAATTTGGGATTTGGTAATAAATAAAATAAAATTGACATAATCAATGAGTATCGATAACAACCGACAGAGTAAATAAACATTTTATTTTTTCTTGAGAAACTCGAATTTTTGAAATATTTGTTGCTCGGTGAGTATTTATTGATTTCATTAGTCCGTCGCCATTAATCAACTAAATTAACTAAAACACAAGTACTAAATGAATAACAGTTTGTTTTCAGACTATTGCAGCTTTCATTTAAACCTAAAATATACATCACAAGATATTGTTTATGGAAAAACTGTGGTATGGCAACGACAGTAAACACATCATTAAATTTGCGTTTTCTTTTAATCGGTTGATGTTTCCTATAAAATGCTGTTCATAAATGGTTTTCAGGAAAGTTTTCTGCCTGTAACTAATAGTGAACCCGTATTCGATTTTGATCACTAATGGTCTTGTAAGAACCAATTTAGGTTTCTATGCAGTGCATTTGTTTCCTGTGACCTTTATGTTATGCAAGTCGGCCGTCTATCTCAATAGAGCTTGTGTCGTAGTATAACATCGTTACCAGTATGATTATAGTATACTCACACAAATTACTACTGGATCGAGTGAGCAATTATGACATCTACGAAGACGGAGCAGACATGTATGTAAGTGAGAGCAGTTTTAAGGAATCAAGAAAAATAAACAATAAAACAACTGTACCATAAAACTATGAACTACGAAGAATCAGACAAGCGTACTAGCCTATAGTTAATGTAAGCTGTTAAAATATTATTTCTTATATATATTTCTAAACCTTAGGTTCGTTGAAAATTTGATCTGGTAATGGCTATAAATTAGTGATCTCTATTTCAATCCACTTTGTAGATATCCTACCGGCCAAAAACATTATTTCATTTATTTATTTCATTTTTTTTTAGTTTATGTTTGTTTTAGTTTTAGTTTAGGTTTAAGTTTTAGTTGAGTTTTAGTTTAGTTTAGTTTAAGCTTTAGCTTAGTTTTAGTTTATTAGTTCAAGCAACTAATAAATCACTTTAGATCATTAGTATTGAAAATACAATTTTAGGTCACGTAAATTACAACGAAAAACGACGTTTATAAAATATTTCGCCTTTCGAAACGTCGTCCTCTGTACTTGTGTTTCTTCAACAAGCGGTTTCCGTCCATTCAATCAAATTTCATCGTGAATACTCTGCCTAAACAATCTATCAAAAAAAAAACTGTTTTATGTTTAAATATCAAAGTAATCGAGTTTCAATTTCAAATAATATATATTTATTATTCATATTATGTTCTTATTGCTTATTTATAATACATTATTGTGTTACTTATATTTATTTGTCATTTATATTCATATAAGTTTCCGAAAGTTGATTGAAACTGAGCTAAAGAGATGGAACTTATAGGTGAATTTTATATTTTTCTTTAAAAAATGACTGACATCTATTACACGGAACATATTGAAAATACGTTATATAAAGTGAGCTGATTTTGTCTTGAACAAAAATTTTTTCAAAGACTCACGGTAGTGTGTCCTGCAACCAAAACTAACTGTAGGACACACTTTGTGTTATTAACTGGAGTGATAGTTTAGCGATTTTTCACTTTCTATAGCTTGTACTGTGGAATTCCAAACTATCACATATTTTCAGTCGATGTGCTCTACTAGACCCTTACTTCACGTACTAAATTTCAAGGTAATACATTAAAACATA